GCCAGAGAAAAAACTTCAGATCCCGGCTCATATGGGAAAAGGCCTGTGTGCACGGAGGCAGCTTCGGGGACGTTGGCAGAGGCTGAGGCCGGCTTGGCCCTGCCTGTAATGGGCCTGCCCTGGGGCCTTCCAGGCCATGGACGCGGCGTGGCCTCCAAAGGAGACTTCTCTCTCAGGCTGTAAAGATGCTGTTCATAGGCATAGTCTGTGAGTCCCCAGCGAGCCAACAGCTTTTGTTTTCCCGACTTTTATGTCCTAACTAAGGCAAGAAAGATTTTAAGGGGCAGAACACCCCCTTTTGTCTTCCCCTTTCTCACCCTTGTACTTGTTTCCCTCTTGGAGATTAGCTGAATTTCTTCTATGGGAGAGAAGGTGCCAGAAAGAGGGTCTTGGGACCTGCAGGGTTATCTCCCCGGTCCTAAGAGTCATCCTCCCAGCCCTGGGAATCACCCAGGTAGCAGTGATGGGCACAAGTTCAGGTGCCCTGGCCCACGGAGGCGAGCAGGGATGAGCACGTTAGGGAAAGGGTCTGACAGAGGCCAGGTGATAGCAGGTCTTTAATGCCACCGTGCCATACTCAGAGGGTACTATCTAGATGTCATGCCTACAAACCAGCCGCCCTGCAGGTCAAGCAGTGTGAGCACAGGAGCTGGCAGCACTTGGATTTCTGCCTGGCACTGTGCACTTGAGAACAATACTTTCCTGTGTTTTTGCACTCGGGGCTCAAAACTGACCATTAACTGTCTGCCTCTTCTGCCAGGGGTCTTTTCAAACATAGACAATCATGGGATATTAAACTTGAAGGACAATAGAGATCATCTAGTCCCATCAACTCACTATATATATGAGGAACCTGAGGTCCAGAGTGGGGAAGTGTCTTACCCAAGGTCACATGGTGAGTTACCTCCTTTGGCTTTTGAATGCAGAACAGACCCCTCCCCCAGACAGTGCTGATTCTGATCATGTTAAGACCTCCTGAGTCTCCAAGTAGCCCAGAGGACGGGGAGGGACGAGGTGCCCGTGTGGGGTGGCGCTAACATCCCTTAGGTGAGAAGGGTCTTCCAGGGAGGGCACTTCAGAGGCCTAGGTGAGGGCTGTGTGAGAGGCAAGAGAGGGCCCGGGGCCTGGGGAGGAACAGAGGGGTCCCAGCCCTCTGCGCAGGCTGCCCAGACCCAAGAAAGCCCTTTGCCCCGTCAGCAGAGGGCAGCCATCACAGAAACGTCACATCTTGAAACGGACCCTCTCTCTCAACATGATGGCATACAAGGGAGGTTCCCTCTAGCTTCACAAATCTGAGCCTGCTTCCTGCAGAGGGGGCTCCCCACATCCAAGATGACAACACTCTGTTTTGATGAGGAGGGAGAAGTCTCAGTGCAGCCTGTTCAGTCTCTCCCCACCTCCATATTCCCCACCTCCAGCTGCCCATGATGCACAGGCAAACACACACTTTTCACAGACTTTCTTTACCAACGTTGTCTTGACCTGATGTTAACTGAAAAACCTCCTTTTGGAGATGCAATCAGGAACACCCACCTCTCTGGACACCCCCATTCCACCCATGGCAGTGTGGCCAGACGGAGCTGAGCTGCCATGGAAGCCCTCCTTGCTTGAGGCTGCCCATGGCCCACTGGCCCCAGGGCTGCTCCTCAGGACAGTCCATCCCCATAAGATTGGAGACTGTGAAACGGTGGAGAGGTCAGCTGTCATTTCCTAACCCTTCCTGGTGAAATGAGATGAAAAGTCCGTGAGAAAGAGCGTTAGGCTGGGGAGTGCAGAGTTCCCTCCTCTCCCCCGCAGTGTGGTCACAGGTGGTCTGTGACTCCAGCTCTGGGGTTAGAAATGGCCCTCCAGTGCCCCTTCAGATGGGCATCATCAGGGGTTCCTCCCACTGACACGAGGCTGCTCCCCTCTTCCACCGACAAGCCGCGGCCAAGCGCCCGAGTGTCTTGCTCACTTCCCTTCCTGGGCTCAGTGGAGGCTGCAGCAAAATGGAGCGTTTCCGATTTCTCTGACCAGGCTTGGCTTTACGTTAATTTCCTCCTCCTCTCCTTCCCTTTTGCTGACAGTTCATTTAGCTATTTCCGGTATATCGGTGCCCGTGTCTCCGGTTCTTCCCCCTTTCCAGCTCCCTCTCTGTTTGCCCTCCGAGTTTTGATCTTCTTTGGGGGTTTTGGTTTTTTACTTTATTTTGCCTTTTTCTGTTTTTCTGTTTTGTTTTTGTTTTTGTTTTTTATAGGTTTCAGAGAAATTATGTTGAACCCAATAAGCCTTCCTGGACATTCCAAGCCTCTTAACCATGGCATCTATGTTGAGGATGTCAATGTTTATTTCAGCAAAGGACGTCATGGCTTTTAAAACTCCTTTAAAGCCTCCCCGTTCTGATGCCACCTGGGTAGGCTGGCCCTTCTGAGAGGCTGGAAGCCCTAGGCCTTGTTCTCTTTGGATCCGGGGATGCTAAGTAGAATCTGCATGAGCCACGGGTGCCCACACCCTTGACCACCATCGAGACGGGTGTTCCCCATCCACACTGGCAGGGCCGCCCTCTCCCTCCAGCCATCACTGTGTTCCTCTTTGTCTGGCCTCCGAGGCAGCTCCCGCCACCATCTTTAGAGCCAATAAAGAGAATTCAAAACCTGTGCACCAGGAACCATCCTTTAAACACGCTAGCCATTCTCTTGCTTTGCAAAAACAACCCAGCCACCACAAGAAGGCCTGCTGAAGTCAGCTCTGCTCCGGCCTCGCTTGCCCTGCCTGGAAGCCTGGGTCTCCCCGGCTCAGCTCTGAGCCACCTCGTCGCCCGCAGCGTCCGGTGGGGAAGAGCATCTAAGCAGAGGTGGAGCCGGTGGTGCGAGGAGGGGACCAGGCCCGAATATTGGCACCAGATTAGGTCTCAGAGGGAAGAATGGAAACCCAGTTGTTTTATATACTTTCATTTTTGGTGGAGAAAACCATACCTGTATATTTTTGGACACAGTTCCCCCTACTTCCTCTTCTCTCCGGAGCGGCTCACAGTGCGTGTGGCGTTAGAAACTCCTCCTTGGCCCCTAGGTCTGCAGTGCGAGACGCTTGGGCTGCAGGAGGTCCTGCCTGTGAGTTGGCCAACCAGGGACCACGGCCCTTCCTGGTAGTCCGTGATCCCAGGATTCTGTCTCGTCCCATTTTCACTTGTTCTTGACTCTGAGCACTTGTGGAATACAATGGAATCACCATGTCAAGGCCAAGAGGAGCCGAAGGGGAAGAGAAGTAAAAATGGGCCTCCCCCAGCCCCTCTCATGGCGCCAGTGGAAGTGTCATCCATTCCCTGGTCACGATGCGTGTTCACCTGCTCGCTTTGACTCATGCCTTACCCCACGGCTGCCCTCTCCCAACGAGGGAGGTGGCTTCCCCATTTTCAGCTTGACCCACTGGGGAGAGGGAAGGGAGGTCCCCCGCTTTCATTTTTAAAATAAAGGCATAGTTGTAGGGCCTGAACCTCTCCCAGATTTGCTGCCACATTGGCTGAGAGGACTTTGGGGTGGATCCAGCAACCCCCGCCCACGGCACCTCCATTGTGGGAAGTCAGCCCAGGCTGCCCCTGGATGGTGGAGAGCCTGGAGCAGGGCGCCTCCCCCAGAGAGGTCCTAGGGCCAAATGGTGGTGGATCTAACCCACCAAGTTTGGGTGGCGAGGCACAGCACTAGGTAACAGACTCTCTGCCTTTGGTAGACTTCCCTGGGGGTGAAGGTTCCCACTTAGGGTTGATGTCCTGGTCCTGTGCATGGTGGCTCTTCATACCAGATGCCCAGCCTGATTCTGCAGATGCTCCCATGGCGTTTACAAACTCCAAGTTTTCCAAGTTCTTGCCCAGTCTCTGGGGTGGCCTCCCAGGTACTTGAGTCCCAAGTATCACCCAGGGATTCGGGGTGTCTCCAGGGCCACGAGGTGTGTGCTTGTCCGGCCCCTCCCAGCTCCCCACCACCCTGCGCCCCCTGCTTCATGTCAGGCTGTTCCCCACTGTGTCCTGTCAGCCCCGTGGGCCAGGCCTCCTCCTGAGTGTGGCTTTAAGGAGCAAGCTTGAGGGTGATGTTTTTTAATTATTGTAATCATTACCTCATTTCCAGCCTCCCAGGCTCCATCCATCCCAGCATCTTTTATCCTGCCATTTTCCTCACCTTGTGCTATCACAATGGGGCGTTGTGTTTCCACAGAGACTTATAGGAGTGTTCAGTGTATAGTTTCTTAATAAACACTTTATTTTCTAATGAAATGGCTGGATCAGACCTCTTATTTGCCAGGTTTGCAAAGAATATGGAAGATATAGAAGTTCTAAGCTACCCACAATCCCCCCCCCCCTCCTATTTTACTGTTAATCTTTTAAAGAAGTTTCTTAGCCCAAGTCCTGTTTCCAAAGGTGTTTATAGTCTGTTCCTTTGGTGGCTGTCATTGAGACTCCTTCAGATAGGTCAAGTCCATCCTGTGAAGTGTTTCCTTATCTTACTAAGAAGGAATTATAGGCACAGAGAGGTCGAGTGGTTCACCCGGGGTCACACAGCACAAGAGGCAGAAGCCAGATTCCTATCTGACTCCCCCAGACACTACGCAGGCGACTGAGACTCTTGACTTCCTGGTGGCTGGGGGACACTTGTGTTGTCCGAACAGCCATGGCCTGTGGAGACCCTTTCTTCCGAGTGGATGTATAGGGAGGCCTGGGATTGGGGTTGACGGATGCTTTATCTTTAATGCACCAGGAAGCCAGTGGGATGGGGTGGTTTTATTCTTCCCTGTGGGCCTTGGGGAGGTGACCTTGTCCAGAGGAAAATGGGTCAACCTGTGGATCATTTATAGAGACACCCCATGCATGCGCACGTACACACACACACACACACACACACACACGCACTCTCTCTCATGTGGGCTAAATGCTCATGGCAGGTCTCGTGTGGGCTGCCAGAGAGGGAGGTAAGGGAGTCCTGGGGTCCTACTGAGAATAGCAGGCTAGCTGGATACTTCTGTGCTCTTGGTCCTGGGCTCCGTCACAGTCAAGAAGGTTGAAATGCCTTCTCTAACCTATAATATCTCCCTCTAGGCTCCCCAGGAGGGACGGAGGGAAGCTCCTCAGGGTGGCAGTAGCAGGGTTGACAGAGCAGCGGAGAGGATGAAGTGACGGGGAGCCACCCTCCCAGCTCCGCCCGCCCACCACGCTCCCACGCTGCTGCTGGTGACGTGGGTGAAGCTGCCTGCAGCCCCCAGTTTCCTAGCTCTGACTCAGTGTTCGCCTTTAGAAGTCTTGTTCCCACCCCTGCACTTCCCACCTCCTAGGAAAATAGTCTAGATCTGACAGTGTAGTCCCAGAGCTAAAGAAGCCGCCTCCTCCAATCCTACTTGACCCCAAAAGTGAGTTGAAGGAGATGTACTGACAAGAGAGAAGGTTCCTTGTCTGCTTTTGGGGTGCTTCAGAGATGCCATCAGGATTCTGAGGCCCATCTGGGTCGGATTTCAATCTCAATTCCTCTTCCTCGGCGGGTAAAACTTTCCTAAAGTGACCCCCTTTTCCCATTGGGGTTACAGCTCTTGCTCAGGGCGACAAGGTCTCACACCTCTCGGCATCCCGTCCTGTTCCGTCAGGACACTTGTGCCCCCTGTCATGAACTACCTGGGTGTGTACCTGAGAGGGTGGGTCCGGGGCTGTGCGCTCTGGGTGGGGAGCGATGAGACCTGGGGAGGATGAGGAGGAAGCTGTGGGCAGCCTTGGACTGGGGCGTGCTGGCTCCCGTGAGGATCTCTGAGAAGCACAGAGGATGCTGATGGCCCAGAGTCTGTATCGGAGGCCTCCAGCCCACGGCCTGACCGGGTCTGTGCAGGTCCGATTTGGGAAAGGTTTGGAGCCATTGGAGGTAGAGAGGAAAGGCAGAATCACCAGCTTCTCAGAGAACAGCCAGAGCTGTAGAGACCTCCTGGCTGAGGGCTCCGAGGAAACTGAAGCCTGGAAAACAGGAGATGCGTGAGCTTCCTACGTGGTCCCAGAGGCAGCTCAGGGCGTCTCAGGGTCGTGCTGTCTTCCCATGACTCTGCAAGCAGGAGCCGCTCAAGGCCTCTCTGAGTGCATGCGCCTGGCTGTGGTCTGGCTGAGGGTGGAGAGAGGGGCATGTGGAGGAGACGAGCAGGGAGCTTGGCTTTTCTGAGAGGCGAAGACACTGAGCTGTTCTCCCTTTGCCTCCATCTAAAAGCGATGTCAGTTGATGTCTGAGGATTTGGAGGGCAGGTCAGAACTCCCTGCTCCGCTGTGGAGAGGCTGTGAGGACAGAGGAGTTTGAGGCTCAGAGCATCACGGCAGCTCAGAAAACCCCACCGAGCCTGACTTCGGTGAGGGCCACCGGAGGCCTTGGTGGCTAACAGGGACAACCAGCTCGTCTTGGTGCCTCTCCTGTTCTCGTGGCCCCTGCCAGCCACGTGCTGTTACCATGGTAGCAACATGGAGCCGGTTCTCCTTTGGGGGCCTCTCTGGAGCAGTTGGCCCGTTTCCCTTAAAAATGACACGGTCTCCCCGTCGCTTGTCTCTGGTTCATTCTGCGGTGAGAAGGGCAAGGACCTGTTCCCGGGAAAGTGACCTCATGGTTCCCCACGTGGCCTGGTGATAATTCTCTCA